GCGACAGTGCCTGCGTACTTTCCAGCGTGTAGGTAGAGCACCGAGTTGTCTTCGACGACATTCAGTCCCAGGTACTGGGTCACTGCGTCAGACACCGTGAGTGTCAGGTCCTCTTTCAGCTCCCCTTCGAACCAGGTGGCGATGTCGGTAGTGGAACTGATGTAGAGCAGGTCGTAGACGTAAACGATGAGTAGGATCGGGTAAGAAGTTTGGGCCGATGCGTTCTGAGACATTCGTGTCGACGGGGTGGGGTGTAACGTAACCTTGGTCGGCGAAGTGGTAAAAGGTGTCGAGGTTGTTGCTATCGAGGGGATTGTCTTCATCGAGTGGAACAGGTACGGAGCAGAAAGGGAGTGGTCCGGCAGCTTCCGAGGCTCCATGTACGTTTTCTTCTGCTGCGTCAGCCTCGGCAGCACGGTCGGCGAAGGAACGAAGGCCCGCGAAGCCGTCGGTGGGGTCATGTGTGTTGGCAATGTTGTCTACGTAATGCTGCAGCGTCAGTCGCTCGTAGAAGATAACATCACGTGATGCCACGGTAGTTTTGTCTTGTATGTCGAGGATTTTCCATGCGTGAAAATGTTGTGCGATGCCGATGTGTAGCCCCCATCGTGCTCGTTGGGTGAAACGTCCTGCTCTGGCTGTGTGGGGTCTGTACTGTACCATGCAGCCGAAAACTCGAAGTAATTTTGTGCTGCCCCTTTTTCGTGTCCACAGCAGGTACGGTGATGCGTTGTTGGGGAGCGATGACGAGGAGAGCAAATTGTGCAGGTGGACTGCATGGGTCATCGCGTCTGGCCACAGTGCGTTGGGCAGTCTCATCCCCAGGAGTAGCTTCCGCATCGTCGTCTGCAAGGTCCGGTTCATTCTTTCTGCGACCCCCTGTTGCTGGTGAGCGTAGGGTAGAGACACCAGGCGTCTGATTCCTCTTTCCGCCAGATAGGTCCTGAAGCGTTGTGACTGGTATTCCAGTGCACCGTCTGATTGGAAGCTCTTGAGTTTGGTTCCTGATTCTCGTTCGGCGATGGGGAGCCATGTCGTGAAGGCGTCGAAGGCTTGATCGCGCGTCTTGAGGTTGTAGTGCCAAACATATCTTGTTGCTGCATCGATAAAAGTGATGACGTAGTTGAAGTCGGCCTCCGTGTCGTCTCGAGGCATGTTTAAGATGTCGCTGTAAACCTTTTCCATCGGTGCATATGCAGGCGCACTTGGGTTGTGATGTGATTGGAAGGATTGATGGGGAAGATCTGCTTCGGGGCACGTGAAGCACCGTGCGCGAGGTCTTCGAAGTTCTTGGCCGCTTGGTGTAAGAAGAGCGTTGCGTTCTAATACTTCGGCTTGGATTGTTTGTAGTACGGTGCTGTTTGCAGGATGCCCAAGGCGTTGGTGCCAGATGTCGTCGGAAGCTCGATGGCCGGGCGAGCGTTGGTACATGTCGGTGTTGGAGAAGAACGCGACGACTGTGGCGGGACTTCGACAAACTTCTCGTGTGATGGGCATAAGTTGATCTGCTTCGGTTGGCGGTCCTCGGATTGCTGGTGGTGGTACTCGGTTGGGTCCTGCTGCTCCTACTGCAGGTGATGGTTGGGAAGGGACACTTGCTGGTACTTGTCTTTCTTGTCTGATGACTGCTAATGCTCGTGTTCTTTCTGCTGCAGGTATGGTGTTGGAGTGCCAGAACCCATCAGGGTCGAAGTCGGGGTCAAGATCCGGCGGGTGTGTCCAGGCGGCGAATGACACGATTCCGTCGCTGTCGGCAGTACCGCGGTCGGGGACGAAGTCCAACACGAAGACGCCGGACCTCAGGAGAGCACGACCGATGAAGAGGCCGCCCTTCCCGTGGTAAAGACGAAACTCGTTGGAGTAGGAGTCGCACTCCAGGTGAATCCCCTTTGCCATTAGTTGGCTGACGCTTAGTAAGTTGTACCCCAAGTTGTCGACGATGAGGACCTTGTTGAGTTGAAGTATAACGTTTGTCTCCATGGATTATAAGTGAACCACTCCTTGTCTGTTTGTTTGCAGGTTTTCGTTGTTGGCGACGGTGATGATGACGTCGCGGTTGAGGCGTCGCTCTCGTTGCACGAAGCGTCCGGAAGAACACATGTGTTGACCACAGCAGCTGTCCAAGAACCAGGTGTTTCGCCCGGTGGGTTCGGCGTTGGCGACCGCAGCGTATGTCGGGTTGACTTGAAGTCCTTGTGAGCGCGGCGGCGGAAGTTCTTCTTCGTCTGGTGCGTAAGTGGGTGGTGATCCGGGTGCGCAGTTGTCGATGTGTACCATGCAGTTAATGATGTTCGGTGTCCCTTGTGCAGATGTGGAAGAGCGCCTTGGAGGGCTTTCTTGAGTGGAGGCGACGTGTGGGTCTACTGGACGATAAACACAAGGACGTGTGCAGTTGACTTTGGAATGTCCAGAAGTCTGACAGTTGTGGCAGAACGGCGGCACGAAGGTGAGTCCTCTGTTGTCGCGTTGATCTTGCTTGCCGCGTCGATTGTAGTTGTTGTCGTTCCTTCGTTGAGTGTAGAAAACTAACTGCTGCTGCTTCCTTGGTTGTCGTTCTTTGAACAGGTCCATCGCCTGTTGTTCAGCGTGAAGCTCGGCGCAGAGGTGCATCTCTGAGATTCTTCCGTGGGCGTGAAGAAGCGAGCGTGTGGTTCTCCATTCTGGTCCGAGCCCGGCGAGGACAAGCGTCACGAAGCTTTCCTCAGTGATTGTTCCGCCGCACCGAAGCAGGCGGTCGCGGAGGGTCTGGCAGCGACTCATATACTGCATCGCCTTTTCCCCTGTCTTCATCTGTATTGTTGTCAGTTGTTGCATGAGTCTGCTTTGTGTCACGCTGTCGTTTTCTTGATAGAGACACTTGAGATGATGCCATGCGAGTTCCGCGGAGTTTCCATAGCTCCGATATGTTCTGATGCTCTGCTGTTCTTGTGGTGACAGGTTCCGCAGGAGAACTGTGTACGCCAGCAGTGACTGATAAGTAAATATTTCTTGCTCCTTTGCAGTGCCGTTGCTTGGGAATGGCAGGGACCCATTGAAGTATCCCAGAAGATGCGCAGCCTCCATCAGCAGCTCGAACTCAAAACTCCAGGTAAAGAAATCGTGTCCGTTGAATGGTGATGATGTCTGCAGTTTAATCACGTGTGAAAACTGCGCCTGGAGACTTCAAATCTCGTTTGGTGTTTGTTGTGATGCAGCTGCTGTTGGTTGGGCACGGGGCGGCATGAACTCGAACGTCCCCGGTGAAGAGTGATAAGGCGCAAAGGTAGGCGCTTGATTGTGTCGCCCGAACGATGAATTGTCGAGGCTCATCGGCGCTAATCCCATGTTTCCTCCGTTGCTCTGTGTTGAATGCGCAGGTGTCCTTGTCTGCTGCTGCTCGAAGTGCGACATGAAGCTGAAGAACCTTTCCATAAGGTTCGGATCCACGCTTGAAGAGGGTGATGGGGTTACCATTTCCGGTGTTCTTCCTGTTCTTTCTTGAGCAGCGCCGGTCTCGGTTTGCAGTCCTGAAGTATGCAATCCAGAGTTGCCGGGTTGGATGTCTTGGGCGCTGGGAGAGCCCGTAGAGATTTTCTTGCCCTTGCTGTCCATGACTTGTAATCAATGAAGTCGTTGAATTGCAGATTGTAGATAGAGCGTAGTTGCTAGGAGTTTGGTCTCTGACCAGCTCTCATACCATGTTGGGCTGAGAAAAGCTCTTAGGATCTTTCCAGAGACTAAGTCCCGGTTGTAGAATGAGACTTGAGTAGTGCAGCGGAAGTTGAGGCAGTTGAACCCTTGTACTAGTATATGAGAACAAGTGATTGATTAAAGAAACAGGCATACAACAATATATAGAAGATAAGAAAGCAGTTGTAGAATACAGTTGCAGGAGCGGTTATCGAGTCGTACAGCGACTCGATTGTCGCTTCGGTTACCATCCGCGATGTTGTAACGGTTAGTCGTAACCTCCAGTTGCGACCTTTCGAGTCCCTTCGCGTTCTTTGTCCGCCCCCTCGTGTAACCTCCGTTGACTCGCGTACCCGTTGTGATCTTCCTCGAGTGTAGTGTTACACTTCAGAAACGCTTAAGTCCTTTGAGATATTTCCAACAGAGTACAACCCAAACCCTATATCTCATTCATAGATTCATTTTCTTGCCCGACATCACCCACCATCATTTTATCACTGAAGCTTCTCGCGTTTTGGCTCCATGGGGTGAGGAGAAAGCATTGTATTTTCAGGCAGAAAAACCGCATGCAACTTCACATTTAATGTGCGTGCGGTTGGAACTAGTAACTAAAACTTGGAAAAAGGAAATACGGTACTATTTCCTTTCACCTCGTTATTATCTATATTAGATATGTTTGACCCTCATTACAATTTTGCTCAACTCTGTACAGTATATATCAGGCCCTGAGATATCAGGCTTTTTAGGCTGATTTAGGTTTCGGATCCAGGCCATATCTCGGCATTGGCTAATGCAAATGATACAAAGGCTTGTGAGGGACCTGTTGTTCAAGAATAAGTCTCAATGGGCAGTATGCAAACAGAGGAAAATCATAGACAACATAAAAAACAGCCATTGAAATTAAGCAAACCAGGGCTTTAAGGTTGATATCTTAGGCCCTGGTATATATACAGTTCACTCCCTCGACAATCCCGCGTTTTCCCCCTCCTCGTGCGTGCAAGCCAGCCCATACGCAAACTGGACAGGATGTGATGCGTGATTATAACGAGGTGAGCAGGCAAGTTTGGGGAGGAAGGCGAGGGGCAGAGGGAGGGTGGATTGGTTGGGCAGGTAAGGACTTGTGATTGGTCGCTCTCCGCTTTTGCTAACTCCAGGGATGCAGGTTGGTTAGGTTTGGGTGGGATGCGGTGGACAGATGTTGGATGGATAGTTTGCCCTCGTGGTCTCCTAGAAGGAATTGCTTGCAAGCAGGCACGCGTGGGGTGGGGAACCAACACCACACCAACCACACCACCCTCCCCCTTCCCTTCCTCGTCGTCTGTAATAAAAATCTAAGAACCAGGGTTGTCAATGGTTGCCTAGTCACACTGTTCAGGTCTGCGTGGACGCGTAATACGCAAGCAGACAACCCTCGCTAGTGGTTTAAAATCGCCTGCTGCTGTGGCCCAAGGCAATTATAGTTCCGGAGGCGTTTCCTCACTGCGAGAGGGCATTATTACTCACGGTGTTGTTCAGCAGATGTCTGCTATCAGCATAGTAACGTGTCATTCTCAACCATGCCTTCCTGCTATTGCCCCTAATAACCTCGTTCCTCGGCCAATGGTGACAAGACACCTTTTACGCCAAATCTACCGCCAAGCATGAGTACCGTGGACGTCTTTCGAGATTACTACGACGCGCGCTCAAATCAACGGTCAGGAATGGCGTCCAACGCCACGTCTGGCCGCTCACCGTACGATCCGCAGTCACAGACGCGGCCGGCACCCTCAGGGCTCCGCGCTACGAGAAGCCACCGGCGAGGCGCGTCGGCCGGTAGCCTGCTGATTCCCGTGGAGCAATGGCGGCAGGAGCAGCAGCAGCGGCAGGTGCAGGAGCCTCAGGAGGAGATGCGGCATGGATTTGGTTATGATGAGAGATACTACGAGCAGCCGCAGCAGCAACACCAGCCGCAGAATAGCGCGCAAGAAGAGCAGCGATACTACGAGCAACAGCAACAGCAGCGGCAGCAGCGACGGCAGCCGCAGGAGCAACGGTATTGTCAGCCACAGGCCGATCAATACCAGCAGCAGCAGCAGCAGCAGCAGCAGCAGCAGCAGCGATGGTCACAGGACGAGGCTCCTCAGCAGCTTAGTAATTATTCCAATGGGACGCCGCCACGTGGCGCCATCGCACAGCAAGATAACGGGTCCTTGCCGTTCCCCAGCCTCTACCGTCCACGTCACGGCCGGCAACAATCCGCCGACAGTCTCGGCCGTCCCCCGTCAGCCGCGACGCGGCTCCGGCAGGAGTCGGCAGAGCGGCACAGCCGGAGCCACAGCAACCTGCCGAGCTTCTCCGCGCCCGACTCCGCCTCGTCCGACGCCGTCGCGCGCGCCGCGGAGCGTCGAGGAAGCTACTCGGAAGTAGAGGTAGAGTCGGAACACAGGGGGGCGTCGAGAGTAATTTATTCCCAGCAGCAACAGCAGCAGCAAGCGACTTCTTCACCGCAAACGGACGGCGCCGGCTCCGGAAGGCGCGCTAGGGTTTCGAGCCAGAGCTTGGGGAACATGGGCGAAATCGCCTCCCGCGTGCCCCCCCGCGCGCCCGCGCCAGGTCGGGGGGGGCCCGTGAGCGCGCTGAGGAAGGAGCGCCGCAGGCCGACCTCGTACGACTCGCACCAGTTCGCGACGTCAGACGGCCACGGGGATGGCACTCGTGTCGCCAATTTCCCCAGCGGTAGTAACCAGCTGGGGGCTGGGGCGCGGCCTCCCTCGAGTGGGAGCAGCGGCCTTGGTAGGGGAGGCGGCGGCGGGATTGGTGGGGGGTCTGGAGTCGGCGCAAGGGAGAGGCAAAGGGGGGCAGGGGGGTTGGACGGCCGTGCTGCGGGCTCCCCGAGTTCAGGGTTCCGGGCAGAACCAGGCGCACGGCCCGCCTCCCCTCTTGCGCAGTTGCTCCCGGGGCAGGGACCTTCTGGGGGAGGTGGCAGCGGTAGAGGGCTGGGAGGTGGCAGAGGGGGAGGGGGAGAAAGAGCAGAGGGAGGAGTGGGGTTCGGTGGTAGTGGTGGCGGTGGCGGTATGAGAGGCACCCCGCCGCGGTCGCCTCTGGCGAGTTTGACGCATGAGGACTTTGCGGCGTTTGAGGGGTACGGGCGCAACCAGGAGGCGATCCAGAGCGTGCTGCTGGCGGCCAGGGAGCTCGTCGACGACTGCGAGCAGGAGGGCGTGTGGGAGTCCGAGGCCACGCTCAAGCAGTGGCGCGGCGCTGCCGAACCTGCCGGCCAGGTTCGGCAGCAGTCGCGCGGTGGCTCCGAGCCTGAGAGGCAGCCTCGGCAGCAGGTGCGTGGCGGGTCCGAACCTGAGAGGCAGGCTTGGCAGCCCAGCCCGGACAGGCAAAAGGAGAGGGATGCGCCGGGGGTTGTGGGCCTGAGGAGAGGAATGGATGGCGCATATGGGAGCGAGGAAGAAGGGTACCGGCAGCAGGGGCAGCAGGGGCAGCAGCGGCGGCGGCAGCAGCAGGAGGAGGAGTGGGAGAGGAGGAACGGGTCGTACAGCGACCGGAGCTCGTTGGGGGAGCGCGCCACCGACAGCCAGAGCGGGTCGAGCGCAGAGCGCATGGCGCATGGCGACAGGGGGGCGCTCGGCGAGCAAGAGGCCCACAGCGCCCAGGGGAGGGGCAGGGGGGTTGGTCACGAGCGAGATGCGTCTGGGTCTCCCGTTGGCCCGTACAGCAGCGCCGCTGCTGCTGGCCAGGCAGGGAGAGGGGGAGCAGGCGCAGGGGCAGGGGCGGGGGCAGGGGGAGTGGGAGGAGCAGAGGGGGCGGGAGGCATGGGTCAGGTGGATGGCGTGGCTCGGAGGAAGAAGCGGGCGGAGCGCCTGCAGGCAGTGCGGTACCGAGATGCCATGGCCGCCACTGGCTATGGCGCTGCTGCTGGCAACGCTGCGGGTGCTGCTGGTGCTGGCGGTGCTGCTGGTGCTGCTGGTGCTGCTGGTGCTGTGGGGGGTCTGGGGGGTATTGCTGGTGCTGCCTCTGTAGGAGGCTCGGGGGATTCGAGCCAGCAGCACCGGCGCATGGTGAGTGTGGACGAGATGATCCGCTCTGAGCACGAGCACAGCCGGGCCAAGGCCGCCGCCGTGCACACCGCTGCACAAGGCCCCTCAGCTGTTGATTTCTATCTAGGATTCGAGGACGTGCCACGTCACCTCCTGCACGACGCGCTGGCGGGAGGAATGCGGGCAGCAGGAGGCGGAGGAGGCGCGGGAGGGAGAGGGGGCGCAGGGGGCGCGGAGAGATCCGCGGAGGGCGGTAGCAGCAGCAGCAGCAATTGGGCCAAGGAGGAAATGGGGTACGGGAGAGGGGAGGGTATGGCGGGCGAGAGGCGCGGGGGTGAGGTAGGCAGAGCGGAGGGGGGAGGGGCAGCAGCGAGGGGGGGAAGGTCGCGGAGGCAGGCTAGTGCGTGTGAGGTGGGGCTTCGGGCCATGGGAGGGGGGGGCGGGTATGGGTATGGAGGAGAGGGGCATGGGCAGGGGCAGGAGTATGGCCAGCAGACAGGGTACGAGCAGCAGCAACGGCAGGCACAGTTGGCGATTGAGCAGGTGAGCCAAGCATATGAGCCGCCGGCGTATTCCAGTGGGTCTGACGGCCCGCAGCAGGGCACAGCAGGCGTGAGCGAGCACCAGGCGCTGCTGCAGCAGATGAGGCGGAGGAGGCTGCAGAGTGGCAGTGGCAGTGGCACCGATAGCAGCACAGGTGGTGGTGGTGCCTCTGCTGCTGCTGATGCTGCCATGACTCCCGCTGCTGCTGCTGCTGCTGCTGCTGGGGGCGGTGGTGCTGCAGGTGTTGCTGCAGGCGCTGACAGCGGCAGCGGCGGGCGCCTGGCTGCGTTCCTGGCAGACGCAATGAAGCTGGCGTCCGGCGCCAGCAACGGCAACGGCAGCTTCACCAGCCGGGATAGCAGCGATGGGGGGGAGAGTGTGACGCACACTGATGGACACGCCCGTGCTGCTGCCGGTGCTAGCGCTGGTACTGGTGGTGGTGGTGGCATGGGTGGCAAGGAGGGCTATCGGGCGTCCAGGTTGGGCAGTGGGCAGGAGAGAGGTGCTGCAGCTGGGCAGCAGCGGACAGCCGCTGCTGCAACCGCAGCAAGAGCAGCAGAGGCGGGCAGTGGGACGGAGGGGGAGAAGGAGCAGGCGCCAACGCCGCATCCCAAGCACATGATACGACAGCTGGAGCAGATGGAACAGATGGAGCAGGGCGAGAGCGAAAGCCAGCACGGGCAGCAGCAGCAGCACCTACCCCAGAACAACCCTCTGCAGAACAACCTCCCCCAGGACAGCCTTCCCCAGCAGCGCCTGCTGCAGCAACAGGGCGCGCACATGGTGGTGCGGGACGACCCCATGGCGCGCCTGGCGCCGCTGACGGACCACATCCTGCGCATGCCGTACGAGGACGTCAGGGCGAGGTACTCCCTGGGCAAACACGAGATCGGCGCCGGCCGGTTCGGGTCCATTCGCACGTGCCTGGAGCGGGCCTCGGGGCGGGTGTTTGCGTGCAAGACGATCGACAAGAAGAGCATCACGGTGAGCTGCTGTGCTCATGCTCGTTGGCATTAGGGGGGGAAGGGGGGAGTAGTGGGAGGAGGAGGGTTGGGGGTGGAGGGAGGGGAAGAGAGGAGAGAGATCCAAGTCTTTTGGGATTCCACGAATCTAGATGCAGTTCTAACACAAACCGCAAATCTAACGACCTGAAGGAAAGGCATGACGGAGGAAGATGAATGAGGAAGACTGGGAGAAAAGGAAGGGGGATGATGAGGCTGTGAGGACACAGTGCAGTGCAGATGGTGACGAATGGTGGCAGGCCTTCCACCCCTTCTCTCCCCTACTTCCTTCCCTTTTCTCCTTCCTTCCCTCCTTCCCTCCCGCCCTCTCCTCCCCCGCCCCCCCCTCACCACCCTCCATCCCCTCCCTTCTCTTGCCCGACCCCCGCCTTCCCTCCATCCCGCTCGTTCGCAATTGCTCTATTCTCCCGTTCCCCCCTCTCTCTCTCTCCACTGTATAACCTCCCATACTGCCTGCTTTGTCCCGAGAATGCGGAACAGAAGAGCGCAGGGAGGTGGCATCCCTGGCCGCGCTGCAGGGGCACCTCCCCCCTTCCTCCCCTCTCTCCTCCATCCCTCCATCCCCTCCATCCGCTACTTCCTCTCCCCCCGCCCCTCAGTGCCCCGAGGACGCAGACGACGTGCGCAGGGAGGTGGCGTTCCTGGCGACGCTGCAGGGCCATCCGCACATCATCAACCTGCAGGGGGTGATGGAGGACGACCAGGTGGGGGATGGGTGTGAGGGATTGGTGTGAGGGATGCGTGGGAAGAGGATAGGAGGATGGGTGGTGGTGGAGAATTGATAAGCCACATGCACACTGCAAGGTCATCCGCACATCAATCTGCAGGGGGTGATGGGAGATGATCGAGGGGGGATTGGGAGTCGATCAGGTGGGGGGATTGGAGAGGGGTGGGGGACTGGATGATAGGAGGAGGGGGGGTGGGGGTGATAAGAAGGGCCATCGGTGATCGGTGTGCAAGGTGTCCAGCTGTTGAAGCGACGTGCACCTCGTGTGTGCAAGGCACCTCGTGCGTGCAAGGCACTCATGACCCAAACACTCATTTGCTGCACAGAGCCACATGCCTCTTCCCCCTTCCCGCTTTCTCCCCACCTCCTCTCCCCCTCCCCCCCCCCCCTCTGCTCTCTTCACTGCTTCCAGCCCATCCGCCTTGGTTTGGAGCTGTGTGCGGGCGGCCACCTGTGCGACTGCATCAAAGCACGCGGGCAGCTGTCGGAGTGATCTGCTGCCACCGTGCTGAGGGCGCTGCTGGGCGCTGTTGGGCGCTGATGGGCGCTGATCGGCGCTGCTGGGGGCTGTTGGGCGCTGATGGGCGCTGATCGGCGCTGCTGGGCGCACTCATGCACTGCTTCCCTCCCTCCTGCCTGTCCCCATGCCCTCCCTTCCCGCCCATCTTTCCCCCGGCACAGACCATCCGCCTTATAATGGAGCTGTGCTCGGGCGGCGACCTGTTCGACTGCATCAAGGCGCGCGGGCAACTGTCGGAGCGCACGGCGGCCATGGTGCTGAAGGCGCTGATGAGCGCGCTCATGCACTGCCACGCGCACGGCATCCTGCACCGCGACGTCAAGCCCGAAAACATCCTCATGGCGGACCGGCTGGACGACAGCAAGGGCATCAAGCTGATCGACTTCGGCGTTGCCACGAGCCTGGAGCAAGGTGAGCAGCGCAGCTGGGGGAAGGTGAGCAGCGCAGCTGGGGGAAGGTGAGCAGCGCAGCTGGGGGAAGGTGAGCAGCGCAGCTGGGGGAAGGTGAGCAGCGCAGCTGGGGGAAGGTGAGCAGCGCAGCTGGGGGAAGGGAGACGCAGGGGGGGGGTTGCAGTGCAGGTGGAGAGCATCGGATGGTGGATGGGCGGCACGGCAGCACGGGCATGGAGCTGGTGGACTCGGGGGTTGCTGCGAGCCTGGAGCAGAGTGAGGGGAGAGAGGAAGGCGAGGGGGGTGGCAGGGTGAACGTGGGCGGACAGGGGGGGTAAGGGGACGAGTGGGGAGAAATAGGGGAGGGGAGAGGCAGGAGGGAAGGGAGGGGGTGAGGAAGGGGGGTTAGGGAGGGAAGAGGTTGAGTGGTGGCTAATATATGTGTGGCTGCAGTGCCCATCCCCATTCTCGCCCCTCTGCAACGCAATGCACACCGGCGTCTTCCTTTGGAGTCGCCCTTTACGTGTGCGCACTCAATCATGCGCGCGCTCTTCTTATTGATTCCTCAATGGCATGGCAGGGCACAGTTGGCATGGCATGGCACGGCACGGCATGGCATTGCATTGGCATGGCATGGAATGGCACAGCATGGCATGGCAGGGCACGGCAGAGTGCATGGCGCAACATGGCATGGCATGGCATGGCAGGGCATGGCTGGGCACAGCAGAGTGCATGGCGCGGCATGGCATGGCATGGCCTGGCATGGCATGGCATGGCATGGCAGGGCATGGCAGAGGGCATTGCGCGGCATCTGTCGAGGATGTGGTCACCCTATGTGCATAGGGCCCACCTTAACCTGCCTGCTCCCTCCACCCGCATCCCACCATTTCAGGAGGGCCCTGTTCGATGGTGGTGGGAACGCCAGAGAACATGGCATGGTGCGGCATGTCACCAGTTGCTTTCAACAATACCGGCTCTCCCGTCCTCCTCTCTCCGCCCGTATCCCAGGTGGTGCTTCCTGTTTTGACGTGGCGGGCACATGGCACCAAAGGTTCTGGACGCCTTTTGTGCATGTAGCAGAAACGTGCTTCTTTCAAGTGTTCTGACGTGCCTCACTCCTCCCAGCTCCCTCCAACCGTCCCTCTCTCCTCCCTCCCCCCCCCTTTCAGGAGGCTCCTGTTCCGAGGTGGGGGGAGTACCTGCGGACATGACGCCAGGTGCTGGACGCCATCCAAAGTGCGCAGGCAGTCATCTGGTGCACAGGGGCGGTGCTGTACGTGATTCTATCAAGTGCACTAAAACCCGCTCTCCCTGCTGCCCCTCACGCTCTCCCACACCCTCCATTCCCCCACTAGGCGGCCCCTGTTCCGAGGTGGCAGGCACGCCCGAGTACATGGCGCCGGAGGTGCTGGACGCCATCTACGGCGTGGAGGCGGACATCTGGAGCGCGGGCGTGGTGCTGTACGTGATCCTGTCGGGCGTGCCGCCCTTCTGGGCGTCGACGAACCGCACGCTGGAGGAGGCGATTCGGCGCAAGAAGGTGGACTTCAAGTACTTCAAGTGGGCCGGCGTGGGGGACGATGTGAAGGAGCTCATCATGCGCATGCTCAAGAAGAACCCCAGGACGCGCATCAGCGCGGAGCAAGTTCTCAGTGAGTGCAAGGGTGAATTGGACAGCACCAGGCTGTAAGAGGGTGTTCCTGCATCGGTCACTGTGAGGTTGGCAGCATGATGCGAAGGAGCTCATCTCATCATGCGCATGCTCAAGAAGAACCCCAGGGCGCACGTCACCGCGTAGTAAGTGGTCAGAGAGTGCAGGTGCATCACTCCTCAACGTGTTCTTCCTGAGAATACGTGCATGAAACGATGCCAAGCGTGCAGCATCATGTGGAGGAGCGCATCATGTGCTCCTCGAGAAGAACTCCAAGAACCGCATCATCACAGAACATTTGCTCAGTGAGTTCAGTTGCGTGTGATTTTCCTTGTGAGTTGCGTTTGATTGTCCCTCTGGAGGCAATTGCATCTGATGTTCCCAGTGAGTAGCAAGCCCGTAGAGTGTCCTCACTTCTCCTTGGCGCTCTCAATTCTTTGACCCTGCTATTAGTGATGCTTTCCCCTTATCCCTCCCCCCTTTGCATGTCTGGTGCTCCGCAGCAATATTTGAGCTCTGTGCTTGATTGTAATGCTGGTAGCTGCTCCAGCCCAGTCATCCGTGTCATGAACACCTCGTTCGTCTCATTTTCATCTGATTTCGCCCGCTTGCATGCTGTACTTACCGTATCTCTTTGGTGCAGGCCATCCATGGGTGGTTCGGCACACATCAGGAGAGGAAGAATGATGCAGGGCTAACGGGAGGGACATTAGTCGCTGGACAAGACTTCCCTTCCACGGTCCAACTAAAGTGCCGACGTTTTTCTGCTCGTTTCTTCAATCGCTCAAGCCAAATAAAAATTGGAGGGGGGGTTTACGAAGGGGCATTCCCCTGAAAGCTGGTGATATTCATGTTTACACTAATGGATGAGATAGGTCACACAAGCTCTGCCATATACAATGCAAGTTCAATGTGTGGGCCAACGTTTTTGGCGCTAGCAGCTGACTAACAACTTTGTCCCTTATACTGTATGAGTCAAGCATGGCATGCACATGTGTGGGTGTATAAACAAGCATATAGCGTATGTGATAAGCCATTGTGCAAATAGGTTTTTTTCGACATTGAGTTTGGAAACAAACTACTTTTGGTAAAGGAGCAGTTCATGTCGAAACGAACCCCCACGATGACTCTAAAAGAGTGGTTGAGCAGATACCCAACCACCCTAAAAGTGAGGGCTGGGTGAAAGTGTTCATGGTCAAAATAGGGCCAGCCTTTCGGTCCACTGCAGTAGTGTTATGACATGGTGGTGGGAGATCCTTCCTCAATCCTCCTATGGAGACATGTGGGAATTCTTGAGGGACGACGGGTGGGGTGGGTGGGTGTGAGGGGGGAAGGGGTGGGCGACGACGACCATGCCCAGTTTGAGACGTGCGTACTTTCGCGTAATCTTGGTGCCAGTGTCGCAGAGACGCGGTTTGACATGGGTTGCTTGTCGAACGAACCCGTCCCGCCCCCGCTACTGGAACCAAACCAAGTCGAGCTAGCAGCTCACCGTACTGAACCACATCATTTTTTCAATGAGATGTGTCAGACCGATTTTTACCTTTAGCACGTCGTTCCACTCCGTCCTGTCCAGACCAACCCGTCTGGACTCCGAACGACAAAGCAGCCAGTGTTTATGGGGAGCAAACCGTTTTTCCAAAGATCATCCGGGCAGCTGGAACAGCAACAAATCTTTCGTCTCCCATCCATTGCCGCGTTTGCCCAGACCATCCTTGTCCCGCTGTGTGGGCGAAAAGCCACGATGTGCAGTGGAGGCGACGGCCTCGAAGGCCTAGGGTATTCTGTTTGGTGACGGAATTCGGCCTCGGAATTGCTCGATAGCGGACGGAATCGCCAGCAATTTTCCCGTAGCGGACGGACGTATTTGTCGAAGAGCAACCCCTGTTTAGGGTAAATTCTGAAGCTCGTGTCTGACACGAGTGTCATACGGGAACACCCGAGGTGGAAAAAAAAATCGCATCGGGTCTTACGACCCCTGATGGCTGCTTGACTGGAAACATACCCAGGCTGCTATACCCAAGTTTGAGCCTCTAAACCCCGCGGCTCCTTCGACCGCGGGCCAGCCTCGGGTCAGACCCGAGGTGCAGAATTTACACTCTAGGGAGACTTATGCAAGGGAGGGCCTTGGAACCCCCAGAGAATGTTTCTAGGCCCTGCTATGGGGTGGGGGGGAAATAAATCACCACTATGGACAGATTTCCCCATACACGTCCAAATCGCACGGATTCAAATATAATTAACTGTAGTCTCAAGGACTCTCACGCAAGTTTAGGGAGTGTTTCTAGAAGGTGTCATCCCGAAAAAGCGTCATCCGAAAATGTTGGAAACCCATCACAACCCTATTTTGGAAGTTCCACGGCTGTTCTCGGATGACACTGTTTCAGAAGGACACCTAGTGAAACCACGCCCTCAATATTCAAACTTAAAGGAATCAACCCTAAAAAACAATCAGTTTCTCGACATAAAAAGAAATTACCCTGCTAGCTAGAGCCTTGGTCCTCCTTGTGAACAGCATGAATGCAGTTGCGTTGTCTCCACGCGGTTCGAGATAAGACTGTGCTCCACCAACCCATTCCTCAAATGCATTTCTGTTCTGTCTTTATCGCTGAGATGTCTCGATTATTTCCATATGCTGAGACACTAATCTTTAGACCTGTATACAATGGGGACAAAACCAAATATTCGTTAAGGTTCCAGCTCAAAAATGCATATAAAACTCTAAATCAATTGAATCATTAGACATGTTGAGGTAGGTTGGCATTTTGGATGGAAGGAAACATATCTCAGAGAAAGAATATCTTCACCATTCTGTCTGTGATGATTTTACTCCGAAATATTGTCATTCTCAGCCCCTGATGGTGTCCAACAGGCCTCTCGCTAAGCGCCAGTGTATTCCGTAAAGGAACGGAATCGCCCCTGGATTGCCCGTTAACAGGTGGAATCCCCCCGGAAAAAACCCATTACAAAAAGGAATTGGCCGCTACAAATTCGGCTAGCAAAGTATAAAGAGGGGGGGAGAGGGGGGGGGGGGGGGGGGGTGTGAGTGGAACCGCTACCCCCTACAGATTGCCCCACCACAAGTATAGCCCGTACGGATTCGAAAAAAAAGGGTACTCGTTAGGCTAGGGATCGCGCGAAATTGTTACCGTAAGTTGGACAAATTCGGATATAAATCGCACCGTAATAAAACGAAATCGCTGGAAGCGTTCATTTCTCGACATTAAGAGTTTTTACCCTGTTAGCGAGAGGCCTGGTGTCCAAATTAACAGAAGGCAGAGAGGTCGGTTCAGGGTCCTCACCTCACCCCCGGCCTGCCCACTCCTCCCCCCTGACGAAGGTCGGTAAAGGTTGGGCGGGGTTTGGGATAGGATGTTCACGCGGTCACAAACTAGCGCTGTCAGGGTAATTTCTCTGGATGAGATTCATTCTTATTCTAAGCTTTCGCATCTCCCGTGCAGTGTGAAGCACAGTGTGTGCAGTGTGGAGCTGGTTGTGAACTGAACCAGAAAGTCTAATGTTCATCAGTGCTGCATAAATGCCATGAAAGTACCAGGCTTGTAAGATTTCACAACCCTGTCGCACCATATTGGTTCAAATCCTTTCCCACTTCGGAAATTAGGAAATGTTCACAGAAGCCTCAGAAAATAAATATGTTTCATGTAGGCCTCTCAGATTGTAAGGAAGGCTAACAGCCAAAACTTCCCCTCCACCACCCACCCCTTGTAGCAGGAGAAGCAATGCCGTAGGTGCGATACAGTTGCTTGAAATGCTTGCAATTGCTGTTTCCGCTTGGTCCTTTTTTCAGCGGTACTGTACAGGCGGTCCCTACCTGGACATGCAGCTGGTTCGTCGTGAGCAAAAGCTCCGCGTTGCGCGAGCTTTCTCATGGGTTCTTCCTTCCTTGCCTTACCTCTCTTGTGTGACCCTCGGAGAAGGGGAAGAAAAAGGGACCCAACCCCTCCCATTACACCTTGCTTCCATTACATTGCTTATTCATTTTATGGCACACGTTTGTTTACAGGCCTATTGGTTCGAAAACACGGGAAACGGTCCAATCGACATAGTCCCAAATATCTGAAAGAGTTACCAAATCTGATACGGAGACCTCCAAACGTGCATACGGGACGTCCTCAAACCTTACACTTGCCCGAGGAACGCAAAACAAACAAAAATGGTCACTCGCTTTAGACTGGAAAACGCCAAGAAGGTAACCAGACTACCATATATTATCCCAGTTCGCCCGTGAAAGTTTTGTGCTCGACTCTGGAGACCCGCCCGAAAAACATAAGACCTGGAAAGGAATTTATATGTTCCCTGTTCTATACCTACAACAAGGGGAATCCTTTCACATTCCCTCCTGACATGGACACTAAAGAATACATGTGAGTACACTTGTCCTCCGCCAATTTATGTGGAGGCAACTTCTCAGGTTTTGTCTCATACTCGGACCAGTTGCTAGATGCTGCTCAAAAGTTATGGAGAAAGTTCAGCTCAGTTCGCCATGTCAGCTACCAGCAGCGCAGCATCGCAGCCGTTGGTGAGAGTTGGGCTCCTCACAACTTGGAAGGATGTACTTGAGTGAACAATTACGTGGTGTTTTAAGATGAGTTGAGGAGGATTCCACCCTTGTCACAACCGTACGATTTCTAGATGCTGCTGAGTCACCCGCATTTTCTGTTGGCACCCAGTCAGCAGGGCGGTCAGCATGGTTCCCTTTGAGAAATTAGTGTCAACACGCTGGTTGGCGCTAACTTCTCACCCTCCCGCTAAACACAAGCTACAGTACGTATAACGACAAGGCACAGTTGAGCGAGAAATTAGCGGAGGACAGGTGTACAGCACAAGCTTCTGACAGCACAGAGCAGCAGCCCCCATGCTGCCTAAATTTCACGAATGTGGTTCCCAGCCGCCCCTCCTCCAGAGCAAACTCAACAGTTCGCAGGGCGATCTAGTGTAGACAACTGGCCATCGCCATGTCAGCACGTAAATCGCACTTCAGGCGGAGCCAGCTCCACCTAGGGCTTCAGATAGATTTTTAAGCCACTCGTCAGATCCGGGTTACCTACCGAAGCCACCCGTTAAAAGTCCGTTGTCGGCCCCAGTCGTGCTCGTCAAAGTCTTTTTTTCGGCCAAAATCACTCGAAACCTAAGCTTACAGCCTGTTTTCGCGCCAGAATCGACCCGTGAATCCCCGGGTTCAGCGATAACCGAATCCGTCAAAAAGGGAGTTCCGGTCAGAAGCGACCCGCTAAAGTATTAAAATCCGTGTAATTACCCTCCGTGTAATTACCCGTCAAACATAGGCCCTCCATCTTGTTTGCTTGTTCCAAGCAGGTTCATGTCATGTGTGCCAGTTTTCTGCACTTGCATCTGAGAGTCGACAATCAATCACATTCCATGCAGCTCGAATCGCATCGCATCCTAGCCCGCTGTAACAGTCCGTCCTTCGCCGCGTTCCCCGCATCCTCAGGAAGCTCCTAGCTGCTCGTGGCGCCTAGCCCCTAGCCCTTAGCCGCGCCGCCGCAGATGAGACCATCTGCGGGATTCGCGGACTGCCGTGTACAGTACGGTACTCCACTGTAGTTCTCTTAGCCGTTCCACGAGTGACAGCGGCCACTTTGTCCCAATTCCGTACAGTAGCATTGTCTTCTAAAGAGCGGGTGGTCCCACGTTCCGTTCCATCTGCACCCTCCGTCGTACTACTGTACAGTGCCAATGCAGAGCCGCCAGCAACGAGATACTATTATTACTACTAATTGACGCTGACGGGTGCTGCCGCTGCCACCAGTAGCGATACGAATTCAATGCGTTCAACAACCCCATCGTCTCCGTCACTCCCTCGCACGCAGCGTCATTCTCTCTTTTTCCGTCAAACCCACTTCCCCGACGGCACCGCCTTATGAGCCCGCTCCAAAGCAGCAGCGGTAGCGCCAGTGACGGCCGCGCGTCGCGACGTTCCAGCCCTGGCCTGTGCTCGGCCGTGACAGTTGCCGAGGGCGACAGCGACGCGGCAGCAGTAAACACCGACTTGCTGTGCGAGCACGGAGCAGCTCCGACGGATCGCGTCGCGCACAGCGGAGGCAACAGCGACATTAGCCCGATCAGCGTGCTCAGCGGCTTCCTCTCGACCAAAAGCCGACGCGACTCGCATTCAGACGCAGCGAGTTTCGGACAACCGGACGTGCCTAGTAGCGACAGTGAACCCGAGTTCTCCTCGGAGGTTCGACAACGTGCGAGCAGTTGTAATAAGCCTGACGACGGTGGCCAGAGTGCACTGGACGACGCGACAGCGGCGACGGCGACGATCATGTCGCAGCAGCAGTCGCAGCAGCGAGTGTGCGACGACGTGTGGGCTCGGCGGCGACAACTGCAGGGCCGCGAGCGACCGACCCTGGCGTTGCGCAAGAGCAACAGCAACGCCGACGCCGTCACCGCCGCCGCCATAGCTCGCGAATCGTCCCGCATGGCGCCCCTCGCGACCGCGCTCTCGCTCGACAAGCCGGATTCCGCGAGGCGCCTCCCCCGCTCGGCAGGGGGACGCCCCCGCGGCGCGGCCGGCAAAGCCACGCAGCTCGAGCGAGACGCGGTCGCGGAGGCTGCGGCGCGGCGTCAGGAGCGGAAGCGCGACGATGCAGCTTCCGCGAAGGAACCGGCGAACTCTCTGGAGTGCGAAGGCCCCGACGAACTGCCCGCGAGCTTCGAGCTGCTGCGATTGCCTGGATTTCGCGGGACGAAGAATACATGTGTCGGTCACAGCGCCGGCGGTGATTCTAGCAGCGATCCCAGCGCCGCCGGATTCGGCAGCGGAAACGAGGAAGAAGCGGCGTGGGAGGAGGAGGGTAGGGTGGGCCGTAGCAGTCTGGGAGCTTCTCACGACACCGTGGCCTCTAGTAACGTGTACGTCTTTCCGAGAGACGGATCGTACGCGCAAGACGAGGAGTGCAATAGCGGCGAACACGGCGATGAACATCCTGGTGACACGAATAGTGGTAACCCGTCGGCCTGGGAGGTCGACGACTTCCCCGGGTTCGCCATGACTCCCCCCGGGGGGGGCGCCAAGCCCGTCGAGTCGGAATCGGAGTCGGATCGCGACTCTCAAGGCGGCGCGACGGGGGTAGTAGGCGCAAGAAGCGGGTGGAGTAGAGTGGCCGGGAGGAGCTCCTCCGTGTCTGCCGGCGCCGATCCCGGCGGATCTGCGGCGTCGCAGAGGAGTCTATTCCTGCAGAGAGGTTCTTGTTCCCAGAGGATACGTGACGCGAACGATGTCGTCATGCGCCCGTCACCGTTGCCGTCGTCGCTATCGCAGTCGCTATCCCCGTCGTTGCCATCCGACGCAGTCGTATCGGTTACGCCCAAATCGTCGTCGCCAGCGTCGCCGACTGTCGCAGCAGCGATAACAGGCGAAACGTCGTCGACAGTGATGATGTCGCCTAGGGTTAACGACGAGACGACTCTGGAGGGGGCAATGAAACAGACTGCTGTCGATAGTGTTGTAAGAACGTCTGCTCAACTGCCGACTGCGACTGTGCCTGCTGTTTCTCCCGGCATTACTTCTGGAAAAGGGGTGTCAGGAACCGGTGCAAGCAGTGCAAGCTCGCCGTCAGCAGCCGCCGTTCGATCAGCAGCCGACGCGACGATCGTCGTGAATCCTGAAACCTGCGATTTTGCGGAACCGGCTACTACTTGCCACGAAACCCTAGCGATCAATGCAGCTGGAGGTTACGCCGGCAAACCGTCGACTGTCAGGAACCAGTTTCCGAGATCGAAATCCCAGTCAGCATCGAAAATTCAGTCCGGATCGCGTCTCTCTCCGTCGAGCGGCGGGAGCCGTTCGTTTTCGAGATTGGAGTCGCGGTCCGGACCGTTTTCTCCTTCGGCTCTCCCTCCGCCTCCGCCGATTGCTGCGGCTGTCACATCGCGGGATGGAAGTGAATGGCTCGTACCAACCTCTACTTCGGGCAGTCACTGTGACGATGACGGTGACGGTGACGGTGACGGCAATGGAGACGATGACGGGGACGGGAACAACGGGAGTGGTGGGCCTGTATGTTTGCGTGAAGCCGCTTGCAATTGGAAGGCGAGGCGTGGCGAGGGTTTGGCGAAAGAGAAAACGTCGCCGAGAAGTAGCAAGAGCAGCAGCGACAGTAACAGCAGTGCGAGTGAGCGAAGCCGTGTGAGCGCGGCAGCGAAGGGGAAAGCCATCGCGACGGACGAATGTGGCGAAGCCTTCGCGAGCAGCTGGGCTGGGGGCAGCAGCGGCGTTGCCGGCTGCAGTTACCGCAACTACAGTAACTATGAAAACTCGTCAAGCCAGGATGATCAAATAGGCGCCCGCGTCAGCATCCTTCCCAGCCGCGTCAGTCACCATCCCCCGCCTGAGCTGGACCTGACGTGTCTTGACTCCATCATTTCCATGCTCGGCGCGCAGCCAGAGGAGCAGCCAATGAGAGGAAAGAGCAGAGAGAGGGTGACACGTGGCAGTGGGAGAAATGGAGGGATGGGGCATGGAAGATCTGCTTCCGCATCCTGCCCAGCAACCCCGTTTCTTCAGATGCCACCTTCCCCAGCCACACCTCCCCATAGTCACACCCACCACATCCACAATCACCATCACCATCCCAATCCCCAGCATCATCCCCATCGCTCTCCTAAATCCCACCTCCCTCCTCACCCGTCCCTATCCTGTGAAAGTTCTCCGCACCTTCCACTCGACCTCTCCTTTGATCCCGAGCCTGCATCCATGTCTGGAAGTTCGGGCTTTGGTTCCGAGCCTCATCGTTCGGTGTTTCGAGGTGCGGGGCAGCTTGGGTTGGAGCCTGGTGAAGGGGATGGGGATGAGGGAGTGTGGGGGGAGAGAAGAGGGAGGGGGTGGCAGAGAGGGAAGGGAAGAGGGCGGGAGCGAGAGGGAGGAGAGAGGGAGAGGAGGGGATCAAGGGAGATGGGGATAGAGGCGCTGAGGGTGGCGCAGGCTGTAGCAGCTACAGATGGGGCTGATCCCGCGGCTGTTGATGATGGGGATATCCCTGCTGCTGCTGCTGCTGCTGCTGCTGCTGCTGCTGCCACTGGCATTGTTATTGCTCAACCTGTCACTGCTTCCAGCGCTGCTGCTGCTGGGGGTGACGTGTCTATTGCTGACCTGGAGGCAGCGCTTGCCATGCTGTCACGATCTGCGCAGGGGAGGCGGGGCGAGGGAGCAGGAAAGCATGGGAGACACCTCCGAGCTTCGTCCTTCTCCCACTCATCCTTCTCGCACTCCCCCTTCTCCCGAACCCCCTCCTCGCGCTCCCCCCTTCCCCCCTCGCCCTCTGCTCGCGCTGCATTTGCGCACTCCCCCTCCAACCGTTCCCCTTCCCCCTCTGCCCGCCGCTCCCCCTCTCCCTCCGCACGCTCCCGCTCCCCCGCCCCCATGACTCGCTCCCCTGCGCCCTCTGGCGGTAGCTTGCACGTTCGGTCGCGCAGTTATCACATGGGCCCCACCTTTGCTGTACCGGCTGCTGCTGCTGCTGCTGCTGCTGGTGGGGGTGGGGCAGGGGTGAGGGCAGGAGGGAGAGGGGGGAGAGAGGGAGGAGATGGTGGGTTCGGGGAGGGGAGTGGTGCACGGAGGGGTCAGCACAGCCGCAGCAGGAGCATCAGCAGTGCTGTTGCTTTCGTCGCTATGGGAGGGCAGGGAGACGCAGGAGAAGAGTGGGGAGCGGGAGGAGGAGGGATGGGAGGAGGCGGGGTGGGAGGAGGCGGGGTGGGAGGGGGAGGGGTGGGAGGAGCGGGAGGAGCGGGAGGAGGAGGACAGGGGCTGTCGAGAACTGCTGGTGCAGGGGGCAGCAGCAGCAGTGCAAGCGGCAGCAGCCGGCGTTTCCTGCAGCGGCCCCTTAGCTTCAACGCCGTTCAAGGGCTGCTGCTCTCTCGCTCGGGCCCTCTCACTCCCCCTCCCCACCTCCACCTCCCCCCTCTCCCCCTCTCCTCTGACCGCCTCTCCGCTTCCCCTTCCTCCTCCCATGCCTTCCGCAGCCCCCGCCCGAGCCAACACGCCAGCCCTGGTTACAGCCCGAACCCGAATGCTAGCTTCGGCACTGCGCCGAGCCTCAGCATGAGGAGCCGTTCGCCAAGCCCCCAGGTCCTTTCCCGCGTGCCGAGCGCTAGTAGCCTGGGGGACGAGGGGGACGCGGATGGGGAGGCGGAGGGAGAGAGGAGGGGCAGGGGTAGAGTGAGAGGTGGAGCGAGAGGGCTGGAGCGGGAGGGAAGCAGAGGAGAGGGGGGCGAAGGGAGGCGGTCGAGGGGCCACAGCCGGAGCAGGAGCCGGACTGGCGGCAGGAGGGTGGGGCTGTCATGGTCCATGGGGCCGGCAAGGGACGGAGGGGAGTATGAGGAGGACGTGAGGGACTGGGAGGGCGAGCTGGAGTTCAGGGGGCAGCACCACCACCTCTTCCCGCCCCATCGCTTGCTCCCAGCTGTTGCCGCCGCTGCTGCTGCTTTAGACGGAGATGCTGGTTTGGCTGCTGCTGGCGCTCGTGCTGCTGGTGCTGACCATGACATGGACGGTTACGGTGGTAACCCGCGTGAGAGGAGGGCGGCAGCGAGTGCCCCGGGGCACCGGCGATTCGTGTCGGACCTCTTCTTCGACGCCCCAATGGACTACTTCCAACCCTTCCTCCCCTCCCCTGCTGCCTCCTCCGGTGCCTCCAGCCCTGCCATCGACCTGCTCGCACTGCACTCGACCCAATTTGACCTGCTCGCACCACATGGAACACAGTTTGATGCGTCAGCCCCCCACACGCCGAATGCAGCACAGTCTGACTCAACGATCCCTCTCACGGGGTCGTATGATTTTTCCGACTCCGAGAGACCCTTTGGTCTTCCCCCCGCAGAGAGGCCATCATTTGATCGCTTGCCCCACGATCCCCTGGCGCCCACCGTTGCGGATTCTGCCTCTCATCCCTTCTCCCCTGACTTACCTGCTCTTGACGCGCCAGCAGCAGGCGCTGCCACTTCTGCGGCGTCTCCTTCAAGCCCGCTCTTTCTTCCTCCATCCTCGTCTCTTCAGAACGCCAACAGCAACAGCAACAGCCACAGCAGCAGCAGCATCACCCTCAGCCAGCCAGCGCCATCAGCAGCCCCTCTCCCCCCGCGCAGCAGCAGCAGGCGCAAGCTGCTGGGCGAGAGGAGGGGCTCCAGCTTCAAGGAGCGCCGCTCATCCCGAGACCTGTCCTTTGGGGACGACCCCCCCTGGCTCGCCCCCCTTCTCGCCCCCCCTCTCGCCTCCTCTGCCTCCCCCTCCGCCTCTCCTCCCCCCCCCTTTCCCCTCGGCCTCTCCCCTGCTTCGTCTCGTGGTGACACTGGTGCCGCACTTGCTGGCGCCACTTCTTCCTCCCACCATCATAGGGGCAGCAGTGGCAGTAGTGCAAACAGGGTGAGAGCCTTTAATCGCAGCAGCTCTTACGGGGGACAAGGCCGCCTGGTTCCAAGAGGGGAGGGGTTTTTCGGATCGAGAGAATCGGATCCTATTGGGGACGGAGACGGGCTTTTGGGCAGCGTAACATACTTTTTCAACGGCAAAGAGGGGTTTCCGAGCGTGCAAGAGCGGTTGCCAGACTCCAGAGGAGGTAGCAGCAGAGACCCGGTTTTTCCTTGTGGGCGAAACAGCCGGGGCCTAGTGTACTCAGAGGAGGGCGGGCGGTTGTCCTCCGTCACTTTTGACGCGGCCCGCGATCTCCTCTCAAGCAGTCAGCACGGATCGTTTGTTGGGTCAGAGGAGCCAATGGAGCCGAGGGAGGGTGCGTTCGGAAGCATGGAGAGGGTCGGTGGAAGGGCGCTGGTGGCGTTTGGGAGCACGGAGCGGGAGACAGAGGTGGTGTGTGGGGGCGGGGCAGGACACGAGGGAGAGGAAATTGCTGACGCCGCCGCTGCTGCTGCTGTTCTTGGCAGGCTTGGTGGTGGTGTTAGTGGTGGTATGGGTGCGAAATCTAGCACGAGTGGCTTCAGCAGAGGCGGCAGAGAGAGGTTTGGATTCTTGTCGTCTGATTTCGACTTTGACACGCGCGCCGCCGCACCGCTGCACCCAGAAGCCCTTCGTGAGCCGACTCAAAACCTGCTTTTGAGCCCAGATGTATCCTCCACGCTTGATGGCACGGGTAGCCGCAGCACAGCCGTAGAGCTGATTGGCAGCAGTGGCGGCGCCAGCAAGGGGAGCAGCAGCAACAACAGCAGTCGAGGCAGGCTTGAGCGCAGCAGTGGCAGCGCAAAGGAGCGGGGCGAGAAGGAGTATGGAGGAAGGGAGTTGGGTGAAAGGGGGCTAAATGGCAGAGACGGCAACGGCACGAGGAGGGGTGAGGGAAGCGGCAGCGGGGGGTGGTGGCAGGAGATCCAATCAGGCGTGCGCAGCCTTGAGGTGATGCAGCAAGAGGCCTGTGACGCTGCTGATGCTGCTGCCGCCGTTGCTGCTGCTTCTGCTGCTGCTGCTGCTACTGAATCTGTGGCTGCAGAAGGTGGTGCTAGTACCTCTGATCTCTACCCTGTAGGTCTTCCTGGTGATGCTCCCTGTGCCACCGCCATGTCTGAAACGATGGGAGCGGAAATGCAGTCCCAAGCGGCTGAAGCAGCAAAGGCAGATAGCACAGGTAGAGAGGGCCACCAGCAGCAGCAGCAGCAGAGGCCAGGCCAGCCAAGCCAGGCACAGCAGCAGCGGTCGCAGCAGCAGCAGGGGGCGTCGCTGTTTGTTGGGGGTGGGGGGTCGGTGCTGGGGAGGGGCCTGCGCGAGCTGAAGGAGGCGTACGTGGTGGGGCGCGCGCCCGTGGGGCGCGGGCAGTATGGCACCGTGCGCAAGTGCGTGCACCGCGGCACGGGGAAGGCGTATGCGTGCAAGAGCATCGGCAAGAGGAGCCTGCTGGTGAGACATGCACCGCTTTTGAGTCATGCACCGCTTTTGAGTCAAGCACGAAAGCACCGAGGGATAGGCAAGGCAAGAGGAGCGTGGTGGTGTGGTGAGAGGATGACGAAGGGCACTCTGAACGCACCTACCACACCTCCTCCGAGCCTTCTGCTGGTTAACCATCAGACGGCCATCCTGTGTTAACTCACGTGCGAGAATAACTCTTTTTAAACCCCTGAACAATGAACCGCTGAGAGCTGACACACATGGAAACAGCCCATGCAGAGCACAAGAGGAACCCTGGAGCTGCTGATTGTGAGTCAACGCATATGCGCTCAACACGTCCAGTCCAGCTAGCTCTTCCACCCCACGCCACAGCAGCACAGTGAGCACGCCTATGAATTCTAAACCCTCCCTCCCCCATGTGTGCAGAGTGCGGCGGACAAGGAGGCAGTGCGGCGCGAGGTGGGGTTCCTGGAGCGGCTGAAGGGGCACCCCAACGTCATCCGCATGAGGGAGACCATCGAAAGCACCCGGGTGAGTTGTGTGAGTCGCCTCAATGCATGATTACATCTTCGAGCGGCTGATGGGCACTTGAACGTTTTCAGAACGAAGGAGATGAATGAATGCACCTGGGTGAGTTGTGAGGTGGCTTGGCGCATATTCCAACAGGAGTCCGGGAGATGATCAACTGCACAAGAGTGAGCTTTGAAGTCCTCCAATCAACCAACTACTTACAACCACAATGTCAGAAAGGAGATATTTGCAAAAATGTCTATGCTCCTGCTTGTCACCACATGCACATCACTATGTGCACACCACCACGTGCACATCACCATATGCCCATCACCACGTGCACATTACCATGTGCCCATCACCACGTGCGCATCACCATATGCACATCATGCTCCTTTCCCTCTCTCGCTCCCATCAGCACATGAGATTTTGCATGGAGCGGTTTTCCCTTCCCCACCAGCAAGTGCACATGATCTGCAAGCACTGTGATACTTGAATGCACATTTGCTGGGGGGCAGGCGGGAGGGAGGAAGGGGAGATCTGTGAGTGTCTAGAGCCGGTTCAGAAGCACACCTCCTACCTGGTTCCCCCTTCCTTTCTCTCGTATCGCACATGCCCATCCTCAGCCGCCAACCACACAGCACGTGCACATTATCATGGAGCACTGCGAGGGAGTGTGGAATGGTCAGGCGACAACACAGCACGTATCATCCACTTCCCTCCCCCACCCCCCCTTAACCCCACAACCAGCAGGGGCACGGTGAGGGGTTGCCAAGAAGCTGTTCAGAAGCACATCTCTTACCTCGTTTCCCCTCACAAAATCCCAAGCTGCCCCCTCCCCCTTTTCCTCTCCCTCCCACCCCCCCCACCCCCCTATTGCCCCCCCCCCCACCAGCACGTGCACATCATCATGGAGCACTGCGAGGGGGGCGACCTGCTCGACCGCATCCAGCTGCACCGCAACTTCCCGGAACCTTCCGCAGCGTGCATCTTCCGGTCGCTGGTGTTGGCGCTGCAGCACTGCCACGTGCTCGGCATTGTGCACCGCGACGTCAAGCCCGAAAACGTGCTCATCTCGCACGTCGGCCAGCACACCCACTCCTCCTGTCACGCCCATGTCGCCAGGAGCAGCAGCGTCGGCACCAGCGCCAGCGCCTGTCATTTCAGCAGCAACGCAATAAAGCTGATCGATTTTGGCGTGGCCACACTGTGGGCTCCGGAGAAGCCGTGCAAGGACGTGATCGGGACGTCCGAGTACATGGCTCCGGAGGTGTTTGAGCAGTCGTATGGCCCAGAAGCTGACATGTGGAGTGCGGGGATCGTGCTGTTCATGCTGGTGGTTGGGCGCGCCCCGTACAGCGACCCGCCCTCCAGTGGAGGCTCGGCCGTGCCGGAGGAGAGGCCCGGATGGCCCAGTGTGCTTATGGCGAAGGAGGCGGGGTTCTATGGGGTGCGGGAGTGGGAGTGCCTGTCTGCTCCGTGCAAGCACCTGATTGGCTGGATGCTTACGAAGGATCCTAACGCGAGGCCGACTGCGCAACAAGTGCTTGGTACGTTCGGCTTTAAGAAGGTGGGGTTGCTCTGTGTTGCCACGCTCTGTTGTTACCCCCTTATTGTGGACGTTGTGCTTTCTGGTGTCGACTGAGATGTAAGATTCTCTTGTACAATCCACTCAACCATGGCCTTCTTTCAAACCCCCCTTATCTTCCTCCCACCCATCCCATCTCTAGATCACGAGTGGCTATCGATTGCCAGCTAGTCTGTGAGGAAACAAGGACATGGCCGTGGAGGTCATCTCTAGCAGACGCGTAGAATAGCTACGATCTAAAACAGAATAAGTATGATAGGAGTGCCTGGGTTAACAAGCTCAATTACAGGTTAGAGTGTTAAAATTATATAAGTTATAATTTTATATAGGCTTGGTAGGTTGCTACTGAACCTTTCTGTAGGGGGTACAAACCCCTCCTTGTACTCCCTTCTCTTCCTAATCCAACACTCTTTCTTCTCGACTTTCCTCCTACTCCTAGATCCGTTTTTCCTAGCGCCGTTCCATGGCGGCCTTGCTCCTATCCTAGCTAAGCTAGTGTCCTAACTTTAGGGACCTAGCATCCTAAGTTCTTAACATGGTATCAGAGCCGGTCGTGTCCACCGGACCCTCTCCCTACGTTCCCGTTGCGTACTCCTGCTGCATTCGCAGCCTTCGCGGTTTTCTGCCTGCCTGCCGTCGCGACGCCAGGATGTCGCGTCGGCCCCTTGTTACCTGCCGTCGCGGCACCAAGGTGTCGCGACGGCCCCTGGTTGCCCGCCGTCGCGGCACCAAGGTGTCGCGACGGCCCCTCGTTGCCTGCCGTCACGGCGCCAAGGTGTCGCGACGGCCCCTTGGTGCAGCCGTCGCCCGTCCGCCTCACCGCTGCGACATTGACGGTGCGCTGCGGCGGCGTCTACGGCAGCCGACGGCATCGACGGGCTGCGGCCGGCCGAGCGACGTCTGTGGCGTCGGCGGGCCTGCCGCCCGCTCGCCAGCCACGGGCGTCCCTCAGGACGACGTCCTCCCGCCAGTAAGCGCCGCGCCATTTATGGCGCGTCGCTGAAGACTCGCCCCGCCCCCCCCCCCCCCCCCCCCCCCCCCATTCTCCCTTCCCCCTGCGTCTTCCCCTCCTCCTGTCGCAGCTGCTGTCTTCTGCCCGGACGTTGCCACATCACCGAGAGCCCTCAGCCGCGGCGGTCGCCGCCTGTTGTCCGCGACCCAGCCGCCTTGAGCCAGAGCTCCGCGGCTGCTTGTCGCTGACCCGCCTAGACGCCGTCGGCTGCCTCGTGTACGGGGGTGTGTCAACGCTTTGCCTGAGGGTCAGATACCCGGCTAAGCACGAGCCTGAGGGTGTGCGGGGTTAGGGGGTGGGTTGGGTGCGGGTGTGGGGGTGTGAGTGGGCTTGACACTACCAAGCCTAGGGGGTGTGTTAAAATTATATAAGTTATAATTTTATATAGGCTTGGTAGGTTGCTACTGAACCTTTCTGTAGGGGGTACAAACCCCTCCTTGTACTCCCTTCTCTTCCTAATCCAACACTCTTTCTTCTCGACTTTCCTCCTACTCCTAGATCCGTTTTTCCTAGCGCCGTTCCATGGCGGCCTTGCTCCTATCCTAGCTAAGCTAGTGTCCTAACTTTAGGGACCTAGCATCCTAAGTTCTTAACAACTTTAGGGACAAGCTCAATTACAGGTTAGAGTTCCACGGCTAGTGTGTCAAATTGCATGTACTGCAGCAAGCTAGCTGAAAGGGAGAACCCACAAGCTCGTGAATGAAACATAACGGTGCATTGCTACGGGGGTTCTGTTGCGGCAGTTTATTGAGTGACGAAAGGTTCCCGAATCCCGCCTATTCTGCCACTCGCCAGTTTGACGCAACACTTTTGTATGACAACCGTAACGCACGGATTGGACTCCATAATGTACGCAAATTGAATGAGCCAATGAGTGTTAAAGTAAGAACTGAATAATGGACTAGAAGGAGAAACCTAGAACAAATACTAGTTGGTTGTACTCACTAGAACCATACCCCAGTCTAGCCTATAACTTCTACATAGCTAATATGTATAAGTTGACACACCCCCTAGGCTAGACAAGGGGTGAAGCTAAGCAAGAAGCAAATAGCTCAGGGTGGCACTACTAGTCCAACCACTGAGGCAGGGGTCTGGAGACCAGTCAGCAAGAGTACAAACCAGGGCTCAAAATTGGTTTAGAGGCACCCTTGGGAATCAGGGTACCGCAACAGAAATACCCTGTCTCCTAGGGTGGAATTTTCAGCACCCTTTGAAAATCAGGGTGAATTCATAAAAACTAGTCAATACCCTGTTTGAGTCAGGGTACTAATGCCATCACCCTGTCCACTGCGCGGTTAACAGCTACTACAATTTCAACTTCTTACTAGCAAGCATACAAGCAGGATCACTACAGCAAAGAATTAATAGCCTCTCCTACTTCAACTACTGCACCACTGCAGAGATACAGCAACAGCGGTGAGGGCAGTAACAGCTACAGTGTTCCTTCCTTCCGCGGATGAAGCTGCTGCTGGAGGTGCTGAAGGGGAGGAAACGCAGGGGCAAGGACATGGTGATGCGCAGGGGGAGGAGCGAGAGACTAACAGAGCAGCGGGAGACTAAGGGCATATTCGTGAGTTTCGACTCATTTCGCTCATGAATACGCCCTTACGCCCTTAGTTTTAACTCGCATGCGCAGCGAGAGACTAAGGGCGTATTCATGAGTTAGCATCAGAAACAAAATCAGAATCAAAGCCGCGCAAATCCGAACCGAACCAAACCTCATTTCACTCTTGCACCTTACTTTACCGTGCAAGTCTGAATTCGAATCTGTTTCTGGTGCTACCTCAGGAATACGCCTTGAGGGAGCAGCGAGATACTAAGGGAGCAGCGAGAGACTACGGTAAGAGAGCAGCGAGAGACTAAGGGAGCAGCGAGAGACTAAGGGAGCAGCGAGAGATTACGGGAGCAGCGAGAGACTACGGGAGCAGAGAGAGACTACGGGAGCAGAGAGAGACTACGGGAGCAGCGAGAGACTACTGGAGCAGCGAGAGAGTATGGGAGCAACGAGAGACTAACAAGGCTGGGAACGAGCGAGAGAGACGAAGGCAGGGAACAGAGACACTGGGGGAGGGAGCGGCCAAAACGAAAATCTGTTGGTGCGAAGTGCCGCGGGATTCGGTGTAGGTGGGCGGGGCTGCCTGCCTGCGTGGCAGATTCAACAGTTGGCATATTTCGAGGGTTGGGAGTTATCTGTTTCAGGGTGTTTTTTGGCGCACCCTGATTGGTCAGGGTAATAAGACGAACACTCTTGCTACAACAGGGTAAAATATTCCTTACACTTTCTGAGAAAGGGTCAGAGAAAAATTGGCCTTACAAAATCAGGGTAATCCTGAAAAAGCGGCCGCTGGCAAGGGTAATCAGGGTGAAACACCCTTCAAATTTGAGCCCTGGTACAAACAAGACTAAAGCAAGCCAGGGCGGCACTACTAGTCCAGCCACTGGACGTAAGGCCACAAGGCCAGTCTGACAGGTAAATATAATAGAGAGTACACAATCAGGATCCTAACAGGTAAGTAGCTACAGGAACAAGACCAAGCTGTACACAGTGTCGCTGATGATCTTTAGGCGCAAGCGCCTTAGTAAAGATATCAGCTGTGTTGGCACCTGAGGCCAAGTGAACTACGCGGGCCTGGCGGCGCTGCTGTAACTCGCGCAGGAGGAAGTACCGCAGCTAGATATGCTTCGCTCTGCCCTCAAGCCGAGGCTCCTGACACAGGAGTCTCATGGCCCTGTTGTCAGCGTACAGGACCGGGGCAGAGCTAGGCCGCTCACCTAAGTCTGTGAGCAAGAAGGTCAGCCAGCGGAGCTCCTGTGCCGCCATGGCACCAGCGTAGATCTCAGCCTCACAGTTGGACTGAGCCACAGACGACGAGCGAGTGGATCTCCAAGAGATGGCACCCGAACCAAGGCTAAAATAGTAGCCTTGCGACCTGAGCGTCTCAGAGTCGTCTGCCCAAGAAGCGTCTGTGTGCCCAGTAAGGACCACTGACCTGTGTCCTCCTAGCACTAACCCCATGCCCAATGTTCTAGCAAGATAACGCAAAACCCTCTTAGCGGCAGACCAGTGCTGAGGTCGGTGTCTGCCTGTAGCCACAAAGCGAGCCAGGATGCTGAGAGGGTATGCGAGATCTGGGCGAGTGCAAGTCATCAGGTACATGAGGCAACCCACCAGCTCTGCGTAGGGGCCACTGGGCTCTACTGGCTCCTCAGGAATGGGAGCGGAGAGCCCATGGTCTACTGATAGAGGTGTGGGCTGTGCGGAGGAGAACTGAAGACCCAACCTCAAAAGGACCTGACGCACCAAGTGTGACTGTGTCAGAGTGATGGTGCGTGCTGCTCTGTCCCTAGAGATCCGCAGGCCAAGATAGCGACGCAACTTTCCAAGGTCAGTGCAAGTGTGTCTCTTCAGCAGCTCGGCCTTCACAGAGGCCAGTGCGTCCCTGTCAGCAGTAGCGAAAACCAGGTCATCTACGTAGACAATGATGTAAAACGGAGTCTGGACGGAACGCACAAACAGCGAGGGGTCAGCAGAGGATGGAAAGAACTGCAGGTCTGCTAACGTGGCACGCAGCGTGTCATGCCATTCGCGGGGAGCCTGACGCACGCCGTAGACCGGGCGCCTGAGAAGCCACTGGGTCCCAGGGGGGAAGGTACCAGTGAAGCCCTGTGGTCGGCGTAGGTAGATCTGCTCGTGTAGGCTGCCCTGAAGAAAGGAAGTAGAGAACTCAAGGGAGTGAAGCTCGTAGTCGCGCTGTGCTGCTACGTGTAGCAGCGCCCGAAGAGTGGTCATCTTCAGGGTCGGGGCGAAGGTCTGGAAGAAGTCAAACCCCTCGCGATGACTGAAGCCTCTGGCCACGTAGCGCGCCTTGAAGACAGGCGGCTCTCCAGGGGGGCGCTTCACCTTGAAGAGCCACCGACCATCGACTACGTTCACCCCAGGAGGGGGAACTGTGTCAACGTAAGTGCTGGTGGACGTCCAAGATGCCATCTCCTACTCCATGGCAGCTATCCACTGAGAGGCCCAATGTCACAGGATCGAATGTGTCGAGGAAAGGTTGCACTATCGATCAGTACAAGGCGCTTTTATACTTCCAGAGTACATCAGGTAACCAGGTTTATCTTATCCTAAGGGAATAGACCCTTCTAGAAGATAGAATCACCCTGCGTATAGCCACGCGAGGCTATTGGCTTTAAGGGATTACAGCAGGATTACGCTAGATAGCGTGTCTAGAACATTTCTTTGCCTGGTCGGTGATATAATAATAATAAAGGAAGAAACCAAAGGATAATGGAAAATGGGGAATATGAGGCAAAAGGCGATGAGATAAAAAGAGGAATGAAATGAAGATGAAATATGGAAAAGGCCAAGTGGTGTAACGGTGTCGTACTCTCACACTTCCCCCCCTCAAAGCTGGGTGGTAGAAGTAACACCCTGCTTGACAAGGTAGTCATGCAGAGGACGACGGGCGTTACCCATGTCGGACTCAGAGACCCAGCTGTCCTCAGAAGGATCATAACCCTTCCAACGGATGAGAAGCTCCACGGTGCCATTCCGACGTCGGCGGTGTGCAAGCACGGACTCGACCTCGTATTCGGGTTCATTTTGGACGAGGACGGGTGGCGGCGGCGGCGGTTGGCGTCCGACGAAGATCGTGTTAGGATCCCGATAGGGCTTCAGAAGTTGGACATGGAAGGCGTTGTGAATCTTCCAGGTAGCTGGCAGGCGTAAGCGGAAGGTAACAGGAGTGACCTGTGCTTCAACGAGGAAAGGCCCGCAGAAGCGAGGTCGAAGTTTAGATGAGAGATGGCTGAGGTCCAGGTTACGGGTGTCGAGAAGCACCTGGTCCCCCACCGTGATGGTGTGGTCGTTGCGATGGCGATCGGCCTGGCGCTTCTGTTGCTGTTGAATGTCAAGGAGGCGCTTATGGGTCCGATCCCAAAGCTGATGCATGGTTGTGATGAAATCATGTGCAGGTTGGACTGTTGCTGATGTTGTCGGTTTCTGTGGTGTGAGTGGGTGGCGTCCGTAGCAGAGGAAGAACGGCGTCTGTCCAGTAGCGGCATGTGTAGCATTGTTGTAAGCAAACTCTAGTACGGGCAGGTGCAAGTCCCATTTGGAGATGTCGTCCTTGCAGGCTGCTCGGAGGAGTTGCTCAACAATTTGGTTGAGGCGCTCGGTCTGTCCGTCTGTCTGCGGATGGTATGCGGATGACATGGCGAGTTTGGTGCCGAGCAGAGACATAAGTTCCTTCCAGAACTTGCTAGTGAACTTGGGGTCTCGGTCGGAGATGAGTGTAGTTGGGATGCCATGCTGTGAGATGATGTGACGAACGAAGAGCTGTGCTGTCTCCTCGGTGCGTGCCGTCGTGTGTGTCGGGATGAAGTGTCCCATTTTGGAGAACTTGTCAATGACGACAAGGATGGCGTCATGACCGCTGGAGGTAGGTGGTAACCCGGTGATGAAGTCTAGGCTAACCACTTGCCATGGTTGTTCTGGGACAGGAAGAGGCTGCAGTAGTCCCGCCTTTTTCTGCTTGCTGCTCTTCATCCGCTGACATGTATCACACGAGGTGACGAATTTCTGGACGTCGTCTGCCATATGGGGCCAGTAGTAGTGTTTGGCGATACCGGTGAGCGTCTTGTTGCTACCGAAGTGTCCGGCGTACAGGACGTCGTGGTATTCTTCGAGTAGTAACTGGCGCAAAGGAGGGTAATTGGGTACCCAGATTTTTGTTGATCCTTTCCGGTACGCGATGTCACTGTCCCACTGTAGCAGATGTCGCTTTTCTGCCAAGGGAATTTCGGGGTCGATGGCGTACCCGTGGGTGAAGAGTCCCTTGAGTAGTGGATTCATCCCTTCGACCTGAATCGCGGCAACGTGTGCAGGCCGGCTGAGAGCGTCTGCTTTGTTCTTGTGGCCGGGCTTGTACACGATGTCGTAGTGGAAGTGTGTCTCGAGGAAGTCGATCCACCGGACCTGCCGCCTAGAAAGGTTGGGTTGTGTCTTCAAATATTTCAGGCTGCAGTGGTCGGTGTAGACGGTCGTTCTTCGTCCTTCAAGATAGCATCTCCACGCTTTGAAGGCGATGACGATAGCAAGAGCCTCTTTGTCGTGTATCGGGTAGTTGAGTTCTGCCCCGTGCAGTTTCTTGCTGAGGTAGGCAATTGGTTGCAGTCCATTCCCCTGGTCTTGCATCAAGACTGCTCCCACTGCCTGGTCGCTGGCGTCAGCTTCGATTACGTAGTCGCGTTCGGGATCTGGCAAGATGAGCACCGGTGCGGACGTTAGTGCTTGTTTCAGCTGCTCCACGGCTTCCTGGTGCTTCGTCTCCCATTTGTAGGGCGTGTTCTTCTTCAGCAGATTCGTGAGTGGTGCCGCGAGTTTCGCATACTGTGGCACGAACCTGTTGTAGTAATTAGCGAAGCCTAGGAACTGCTGCAACTCCTTCACGTTCTCGGGTGTCTTCCACGTACGTACGGCTTCGACTTTCTTGGGGTCGACGTGAACTCCTTGAGCGCTCACCAAGTGTCCTAGAAATTGGACTTTCTCCAGGGCAAATTCGCTCTTGGACAGTTTGACGTAGAATCGTTCCCGTCGAAGAATTTCGAAGACGCGTCGCAGGTGTTTGACGTGCTGCTTCATGTCGCGCGAGTAGATGAGTATGTCATCCAGGTACACCACCACGCATTCGTCCAGAAGTGGTCGTAGAATGTGGTTCATTTCGGCTTGGAACGTTGCCGGCGCGTTGGTGAGTCCGAACGGCATGACCAAATACTCGTACGATCCGTACCGAGTTCGAAAAGCAGTTTTGTGGATAGAGTTGTCCGCCATCCGTATCTGCCAGTATCCGGACCGCAGATCCAGTTTGGAGAATACCGTAGCTCCCCGAAGCTGGTCAAGCAGGTCATCGATTCGCGGTATCGGATATTTGTTCTTGATGGTCTGCTTGTTAAGAGCTCGGTAGTCGATACACATGCGCAGGCTTCCGTCCGGTTTCGGTGTGAAGAGTACTGGGGCACCGTATGGCGAAGTAGATGGTCGGATGAGTCATTTGGCTAGGAGATACTCGATCTGCTTCTTCATGTCGGTCAGCTCCGTAGGGCTGAGCCGGTATGGTGCTCGGAAGGTCGGCTTCGAACCCGGTTCCTCCACGATCTCGTGTTGATGCGTTCGGTATGGCGGTAGCTCGTTCGGAAGATCGTCAGGAAGAATGTCTTGGAACTCCTTCAGTAATTCCTTGATTTTTTCTGGAGTTTCCGAGGCTTTCTCTCCGTCATTCTCCACCTCTGTTGCTATCGCCAGGAACCCGGTGTCGGTCCGCTTCACGTCCTTCTCGAATCGTGCGAGTGTCTCCACTGGGATATCTCCAGTGTCGTCCCAGTTGGGTAGCTGTACTCTCCGTCCATTGTTGTAGATGCTTGCGGTGCGGTTTACCCAGTTGATCTCGGGGTTGAATCTTTTCAGGAAGTCTCGCCCGAAGATCAAGTCAAGCCCTTTGATGTTGGTGATGGGGAGTGCAGGTCTCCAGCGCAGTGGTCCAATTTGTAGATGTAGCACTGCTTCGCCGTGTACTGGTAACTTGCTGCCGTCCACCATCGTTGCAGAGAATCCTGAAGGCTTGTACTCTTCCCGGAGTCGGTCGATCATTGCCTTGTCGCAGACGGTGTGTGACGCTCCGCTGTCCACGAGTGCTTGGAGGCGTCGTCCTTTGCAGATGACCTCGAGCACGAGGGGCAGTCGTTGCTCGGAGTACCCAAAGATAGTTTCATTGATTGGGTCATAGGGTACATCCCAATATTCCGTACACACCTTGGTGTTGCTGTCTACTCCTGAGCTGGCAGCTGGTCGAGGCTGCTTGGAGAACGGCTCTTCTCCAGGGCCCGGAGTTTCTTTGACGACTGTGCGCGTCACTGATGCCGAAGAACTGGATGCATCCGTAGAAGGAGTTCGGGGTTTGTGCAGCTTCTTGTAGACCCCCAGCTTCCTCTTGAGCTGCTTCAGCTCCACCGACGTCTTCCCTGGGGAGCGGGTAGTCGTTGTGGGCTGGTGTCGGGAGAGGACGTTGACTCCGTGGAAAGGTCGGCTTCTTTCCACACTCCTTAATTTGGTCCCCAAGTTGTCCGGTACCGGTATAATCTCCACAGCTGTCTGCTTCTTTTGGAGTCCCTCCCGAAATTTCTCCAAGGCTCTAGCCCCTCGAACATCATAAGTTTTCATTAAAGCATCTTTATAGGATAGCTTTAACGAATTCTTATAATTTCTTGGGTCTTCAAGGAGTTTCCCCGTCTCGGCAGAGTCTTTTTTCGCGGAGTCTGATTTTTCCTCGGCGAATTTCCCTGGCGAAGACTGGTCGTGGGGTGGAGATTTTCCCCCATCATTTCCTCCTTCTCGCGTCGAATCAGCTTCGTCGAAGTTGATTTTTCCGGAATCCCGCGGCCGCTTTCGGATCTTTTTATTTTCGCCAGCTAGATCCGCAATCACTGGCGACTCCCGTTTTTTGTCTTCTGATTGGCCGAAAGATTTCCGCCACTGTTGCGTGCCCGATACTCTGCGCGTGCGGCCTTCATTTTGTTGCAGTCGAAGATTCGGTGGCCCGGCACCCCGCAAAAATCACACGTGTAGTTGGTGTTTTTCGGACGTGGCCGCCCCTCGAATCTGTCGACTTCCATCGGGTCGGCGAACGTGGTGTGAGCCGAGCGGTCGCCCTGTCGCGTACTGCCGACGTGCGTCCGTCGTGTTCCGGCGTTGACCATGTCGAAGCGCTCCGCGGCCGAAACGACGTCACTGTAGCTCGCGTAGTTTGACGCTGCGACTTGTCGTTTGACTTCGGTCTTCAGCCCGGCGAGGTACGATTGTACTTTTTCCCCTTCGGTCAGGTCGGGAATGCGGTTATAAAATTCTTCCATCTGCTGCGTGTACTGTGATACACTCCCGAACTGTCGGTGTCGATGAATTTTTTCCCGGGCAAGGAAACTCGAATTTATCGGTTCGAAGCGTTTCAGCAGGTCGGCGCGGAACTGCTGCCACGTGGCTTCACCGTGGATGAAAGTACTGTTGCCGCCAATCCACTCGAGTGCCGGCCCTCGCATTAGTGTCGCCGCGAGTCGTACGCGTTGACCGTCCCAGACTGGCGAGCTCCATCCGACGGCTGCGAAGTAGATCTCCATCCCGGCGATCCATCTGCGGGCGTTGGAGTTTCGATCGCTCGGATCGAACGGCTCAGGTGGGCGCGGTTTCGGAGCCTCGAGAAACTGCTGCGACTGCTGCGTCGTCGCCGTTGTCGTCTCGTGCTGCGCTCCGGCGAGTCGAGTTACTCGCTCGAACTGGTTTCGCCACGCTTCGCGATCCGCTCGCATTTCCTCCTGAAGGGCTGCGATGCGCGCGAAGAGCTGCTGGGTAACCTCGGCGTTGTCGAAGGTTGCCATCCTGTTCAAAACACGCACGGAGGGGGTAATTCGAAAATCGCGGAGCTGGTGCTTACCAGAATCGGCGTCGAATTGGTCGCCCCCGGCGGTTTTTCGAGGCAGGATCCCCGCTGCTGCTGCTTAGCTGAGCGCGGCCGAGTGAGAAAAGCTCTGATTACCAAGTGTCACAGGATCGAATGTGTCGAGGAAAGGTTGCACTATCGATCAGTACAAGGCGCTTTTATACTTCCAGAGTACATCAGGTAACCAGGTTTATCTTATCCTAAGGGAATAGACCCTTCTAGAAGATAGAATCACCCTGCGTATAGCCACGCGAGGCTATTGGCTTTAAGGGATTACAGCAGGATTACGCTAGATAGCGTGTCTAGAACATTCCATGCCTGGTCGGTGATATAATAATAATAAAGGAAGAAACCAAAGGATAATGGAAAATGGGGAATATGAGGCAAAAGGCGATGAGATAAAAAGAGGAATGAAATGAAGATGAAATATGGAAAAGGCCAAGTGGTGTAACGGTGTCGTACTCTCACACCCAAGGTCCCAAGGTGGCCTCAGCGTAGGTGCGAGGGGTCGGGATGTCGAAGGCGTCTGGGTCACCCTCAGGGACTAACAGCATGGAGCAGAGATGGGGAGCAGCCTCGGAAAGGAAAGCAAGCTCGTACTGCCTGTCCTCTAGGACGTCACTGCCAAGGGCAGGAGCACCCCCGACGGACGGAGGACGGGCAGGGTCAGAGACCAGAGCGGTAGCGTAGTCAAGGCGGCGGGTAGAGGCGAAGTCAGCGACAGCAGTGACAAGCGCGTCAAGGCGCGAGACAGGAAGAGATGGGTATGTAACAAGAGAGGCAAGGACCCGAGGGACAAGGGGACGAGCGGCACGGAGGTAGTCAGAGAACGGAGGACGTGCAACAGCAAGGGACGAGGGAGGAGGGGACGGGAGGAGGGGAGGACGAGACGAGTGGGAACGGAGCAACATAAGGTGGGAGCGCAGGACAGGGGAGGCGGGAGGGGCACGTGAGGGACGACGAGTCCAAATGTGGGACGGAGGTGTAGGGTCAGGAGACAGGGGAGGGGACACAGGAGGGGAACGAGGAGGAAGACGGGCCGGAGACGGGTCCGGCGGCGGGAACACAGGGCCGTAGACAGGAAGGTCAGCAGGCGGTGGGGGAGACACCGGCAAGCGGTCAGGGGAGGGAAGGCCGAGCAGGCGGAGAGCGGAGACCGGCGGCGACGGCTGCTGCGGCTGCTGCGACGGCTGGGCCGCGACCCGCGGATTGGCAGAACTCTCAATGGCAGCACCCCCAGAACCTACACCTCCAGAGCGATAACCCTCTCTAGCACCAGCGGCACCCCCAGGCCCGCCGGGACAAACCACGCCAGGAGCCGAAGGCAGCGACTGCGACAGGGGAGGCGGAGACACCGGGGAAGTGGGACTCGGCAAGGACGGGGCAGGGGTACCACCAGAGTCAGCAGACTCCTCAACAGGGACAACCGACGAGAGGGGAGTGACGTGAGAGACACCAGACGGGGCAGGACGAGGTGGGGGAGGAGGAGGGGCGACCGGGGGAGAGGGAGCAAGGAACAGGGGCGGGGAAACTAGGAGACCTCTGTGAGGGAAGCGGCGGTAGAAGGAGACAGACTCGTCAAAGGTGACGTCACGAGAGTGGAGGAAGCGGTGAGACGGCGGGTGGTAGAAGAGCCAGTCAGACGTGTCCAGGGGGAAACCAAGGGAGACACATGGGGACAGTGCGGGCAGTGAGCTTGTCCGTGCCAGAGGCACGAACGTGAGCAAGGCAGCCCCAGACGTGGAACGCAGACGCGTCACCGGGGGACCCGGTCCAAAGGAGGGTCGGCGAAACCTATGGCCACTGGGAGCGGGGCCACAGGTTAAGCTGGTGAGCAGCGTAGCGAACAGCGAACGCCCACAGAAAATGAGGGGCATCGGCATGAATCATGGAGGTGCGAGCAACCTCCATGACCAAGCCGATGCGGCGCTCAGCAACCCCATTCTGCTGTGGGGAGTCCGG